CGGAAACCAGGCACGAAAAAATCGTGTAAGACCATACTCGACCGCAACTAAAAATCATGATTTCGATTGAACCATATACCAGTTGAGAAAACCGAGTCCACATTCTTGTTCAACAGATCGAAACGCTTTTTTGGGTCAAGCGTGTGGCACCGTATGGCGGTTTGTGAGACTCACACGCAGTGATGTTTGGGATGCGTAAGGGCGCCTGAGCTCGATTTTTGAGGTGATTCCAAAAGGTAGTTTGTTCCTTTATAAATTTGTGATATTTTGATAGTATTACTTTGGTTGTACTTGTACCGTGCAGTATATTCCGATTGTAGTTTGTAGTGGTATGTTGGTTGTCGTTGGTTTTCCTTAGAATTGGGTAATTTTGTTGATTCATAGTTGATTATTTGTTGACTTTATGATAATAACTGAAAGAGATTATTCACTTTAATCCATTAGTGTCAGATTAAATGGTAAAAAATATTCATATTGGAGTATCGTGGTGAGAAATTTTCTAAAGGGAAAAAGATTGTAGGGCTATGTTAGTGGAACTGTTGTGAAACCCTAGAACATTGTTGAGAATTATGTAACAGTTGGATAATTGGGAATCGAACAATGCGAATTTTTTTTACTTGGATTCATAATTCTATTGAGCAATCCATTGGTACACAGTTGGCAAAGTTTGAAATAGCAAAGGAAGTCTGGGATTATTTTCAGAAGTTATACACTAAGTCTAACTTTGCAAAGCGGTATTAGTTGAAAATTGATATTCGGGCTTTACAATAGAAGAATATGAGTATTCTAGAGTTTTACGCCGCTATGAATTCAATCTGGGATGAGTTGGCTCTTACAGAATCAACGAGATTGAAAACATGTGAGGAATATATTACTTTCATCGAGGAGCAACAATTAGTTCAATTTTTATGGCACTTCATAGTGATTTTGAGGGACTTAGAGGCTCTATCTTGCATTGCACTCCACTTTCCTCAGTTGATGCGGTGGTTAGTGAACTTGTAGCTAAGGAAACACGTTTGAAATCTCTTGAAAGAGAAGTATCTCTTCCTCCATTTAACACTTCAGTGTTGGCTGTACCCTCTCGATTATCTACACAGAATCAAAACAAAGGTTATGTGAGAGTTACTAGTGATGAGTGTAACTTTTGCAAACAAAAGAGACATTGGAAGTATCAATGTCCTAAACTATTGAAGAAGCAGTAGCCACAACCACGGCAGAGATCCTATTGTCTTAATGCCAACATAGCTGCCACCTAGTAAATCGTCTGTACTTGGAGTACCACCTTCCTCTAGTCCCATGTTGACTAATTTAGCAGAGCAGTTTTAGAAGTTCTTAGCCACAAAGCCACATGCTATGTCAGCCTCTACTCATATATGTTTATTATCTCAGGGCCATTCATGTATTTCTTCCTTATGGATCTTTGACTCGGGTGTTTCCAAATACATGTGGTCTATCTCAAAATTCTTTAATGACTCGCGCCTTTCTAACTTGCCTATGTTTGTTATGATTGCTGATGGTACACCATTGCCTTTAGTAGGTGTTGGTTCTGTTAACACACATAATTTATCGCTCTCAGAAGTCTATTGTGTTTCAACTCTTACTTTGAATTGTATTTCTATTGGCCAATTGTGTGATTCTGGATACTTAGTTCAATTTTCTTCTACTGTTTGTCATGTGCAGGATCCTCGATCTCAGAAACTCTTGGGATAGGCCATAGACAATGAGAGTTATATGTTTTGGACAATGTGACACCACCACATGTTGCGCCTCTGGTGTTGACTTGTCATCTTTCTGTTTGAAATCATCATCTTCTAGTTTTTATTTATGGTATTCTCGCCTTGGACATATTTTCGTTAGTTGTTTGAAATTTTTAGTTTCTAAGGGTCAATTGGGAGATTTGCAAACTCATGACATTTCTGATTGTAGTGGTTGCAAACGAGCTAAATTTCCACTTTATCTTTTCCTCGAAGTGTTTCTCATTCTGTTGCACCATTTGATCTTATTCACTTTGATGTATGTGGACCTGCTCCTATTGTTGCAAAATGAGGGTCTAGATATTATGCATATTTTTATTGATGATTACAGTCATTATTGTTGAGTTTATCTTATGAAATGATGATTTTCTTTCTATTTATCGTTCTTTTAGAGCACTTATTAAAACTCAACATTCTGCTATAACTAAGTACTTTAGATGTGACTTGGGTAAAGAGTATACTTCTACTGATTTCTTTGAATTGCTTGCTCTTGATGGCACAATTCATCAAATCTCGTGTACTAATACCCCACAACAAAATGGTGTTGCTAAACGAAAGCATATGCACATTGTAGAAACTGCTCGTTCCTTTCTTTTGTCTGCCTAAGTTCGCAATGAGTTTTGGGGAGATCAGTTTTCACTAGTGTTTTTTTAATTAATAAGATTCCATCTTCCTACACTTCAGGTTTATTACCCTCTGAAACATTGTATGGACATCCTCAAATTACTCCTCATTAAGAGTTTTTTACTGTACTTACTTTGTTCATCTTTCTGAAGTCGAATATGGTAAGTTGACATTTCGCTCTACTATTTGTGTTTTCTTGGGTTATGGGCAGGGACAAAAGGGTTATCGCTTCTTTGATCCCATTAAGAAAAAATTATATGTTTTTCATCATGTCGTGTTTCTTAAGCATTTTCCATTTTTCCTATATCTGATAGTATTCATAACGCGATCAAAACTGATCTCATTCGTATTGATCAATTCTCTGATAATTTTGATAGACTACCTTTCCATGCACCATTAATGTTGATTATTCAAATCCTACAGGTACACATGTGTCGGCTCATGATACCCTTCCTCCTTCTATGGCCTCCCAAGCACCGTCAGAGATCGTTGATCCAGCTTCTGCTCCCTCCCTTCCTCGATATCCTCAACGTATTTTTAAGTCCACTCAATTCTCTGATTTTGCTTATTTTTGTTATTCTGAGTCATTTTGTTGTTTTCTAACCTCCATTTACAAGCTATCTGAACCCTCTTCCTATAAAGAAAAAGCTATTATGGATCCTCTTTGGCAACAGACTATGGTTGATGAACTCTTTGCTCTATATAAGATACTTGGGAATTGGTTGCATTATCTTCTGGTAAACATGCTTTTGGTTCTCGTTAGGTTTATAAGATTAAAACCAAATCTGATGGTTCTGTTGAGCGTTACAAGGCTAGATTGGTTGCTAAGGTTTTTAATCATGGTCGGATGATGAGGAGACTTTTGCTCGTGTTGCCAAGAGTACCAATGTGCGTACACTTATTGCAGTTGCAATTGTTCGTCAGTGGAGTCTCTCTCAGTTGGATGTCAAAAATGCCTTTTTGAATTGAAATCTTCAAAAGGAGGTTTATATGGTTCCTCCTCCTGGTTTTTCTCCCTCTCCTAGATATGTTTACAAGCTCAAGAAGGCACTTTATGGTCTCAAACAAGCACCTCGTACCTAGTTTGTGAAATTCTCTAATGTTGTTATCTCTCTTGGTTTTACGTCCAGTTATCATGACTCTACTCTATTCTTTAGATACACTTCAGCTGGTAACAATCCTACTTTTGCTGTATGTTGACAATATGATTATTACTGGTGATGATGTTGATGGGATTATTTGAAATTAGAATTGGTTCGTTGTTTTGAAATGAAGGACTTAGGTGCATTATCTTATTTTTTGGGGATCAAAGCTGCTTCTTCTCCCAAAGGTCACCTTCTCTCTCAGTCTAAGTATACTATGGATGTTATTGAGCATACTCGGCTTACTGATACTAAAACTACCTATACTCCTTTGAATCCGACTCTAGACATTCACTCTCTGACGGTGTACCCTTAACTGATCCCACTATCTAACGCACCATTGTTGGATGTCTAGTTTATCATACCATCACACATCTTGATATTGCTTATGCTGTTCACATTGTTAGTCAATTTGTTTTGGCTCTTATTACAGTTCATTGGGCAGCTGTTTTCGTATTTTGCGATAACTTCATTGTACTTGCTTTCAGACTCTCTTATTTCCATCGACTTTCTCTTTAGTGCTTCGTGCCTACTCTGATACTGATTGGGCCAGTAACCCCACTGATCGCAAGTCTACTACTGGTTTTTGTATATTTTTGGGTGATTCCCTTATCTTTTGGAAGAGTAAGAAACAAACCATTTTTTCTTGTTTCTGTACTGAGGCAGAGTATTGTGCTATGGCATCCACTACCACTGAGATTGTGTGGTTGTGTTGGTTACTTGCAGACATGGGTGATTCTTCTTCCTCTCCAATCCCCATGTATTGTGATAATAAAAATGCTATTCAGATTTCTCACAACTCTGTGTTCCATGAGTGCACAAAGCATATTGAGATTAACTATCATTTTATTCTCCATTATCTGCAAATTGGCACCATTTCTCTAACTTTTGTTTCTTCATCATTACAGCTTACTGACTTCTTCACGAAGTCTTATCATGTTCACCGTTTTCGCTTCTTGCTTGACAAACTGTCGCCACTTTTTGTTGTACCATCGTGAGTTTGAGGGGGGATATTAGCGTTATATAATATTATTGTATAATATTTAGTTCCTTCTTTTGTATGTTTCATTTTTGTTTACTTCTCTTATAATATATAAATTTCTACATTTCAATAAAAAACTTGATTTTTGACGGCTCAATATATTATTGATTTTTCCTCTCTCTTTCTTCTTCTTTTCTTTTCTTTGAATTGATTCACTATATTGGTTCAAGATGGCTTATGTTGCTAACACATTCTATAGATAGCTTGCCGTCGATCCTCTTTGGCATCTTGAGAACAGATAGACGGGAACTTCCATACCTACGTTGTTAATGCTTTGTAGCTTTATTTGTTTTAGTTGATTTGCAATGTAACCACGGTTTTTCCTCCACCACAAGTGAGGCGCTTATTTAATAAATGCGGAGGTGCCGACCCTCTTTAAAAATAAATAAATAAATAATGCTAAGGCTCTCCTACAGCTAAACTAACTTTGGACCCGTTCTACTGACCAGCTTGGACCTGTTCTTCTGCTAATCCACTTAGACCTGTTCTGAAAATTGCTCTATATACTTGGGATCTGGCCTTGGTAGTCTTCCTGAATGACGTTGCTGTGTAACACTATTCCACATAAAAATGTAATTAGAATTGGAAAAGAACAGAGAGTACAATGTAATAATATCTAGAAGGGGAGAAGATTTAGATTTTAAACAAAAATATACTTAATCTCAAGAAAAAGGAAATAATTTATTCATATGAAAATAAGCATATTACATTACAATATTTGTATCTATGCTTCAGTGTGTAATCAACGTGTTGTATTTTAACCTTGTGAAAGAGCAATGCGTGCACACAGGGCTGAGTGCTGACCTTTCTATTTGCTGTATTTCCGCAAATTTTCTAGCTTTTCTGGTATCATTTCAAGTCTATGGCATTGACTGATGACTACTTGTTTGAGTTTTGGCATTCCTTCATCATCTGCTATAACCTTCTCCAATTCCCACAAGTGTCGAATTTGCAGCATTTCGAGCTGAAGAAAACTGCATGATCCTGAACAATCCATCTTTGTGCCTTTGTAGGATTCAGGTCCAAATTTCAGGATTTTGAGCTTGGGTAATTTCTTCAATACTTCCATTGGATCCTCCTCAAGCTTTGTATATGCAATTGTTAGCTTGATGAGGTAAGGTGGAAATTCATCAGCATTAGGCAGCTTCTTCATCTCACAACCTATGCGCAACCTAACAAGTTTTTGATATCGTGATAGATCCATTATTATAGTTTGATTGAGCTCAAAAATTGATGACAGTATCCTCAGGTTCTCCAGTTTCTTTGATATCGGCTCTGCATGGGATAATTCCTCTATGATTCCTCGCGGACAACATCTCACTTCCAATTTCCTTAAATTTGGGAATTTGCGCAGCCAGATAGGATTCAAGCTGTTGCCATCAATCCCAACTAGAGTTTGGAGATAAGGTAAAGACACTTCAAACAAGTGATTTAGTTTTGCAGGTTTAGACATACATCCCCAAGTAAATGATGAATATCTGACAATGTCACATAGGAGAATGTGTCTCAACTGTTTTATTTTCCAAATACACATAGGAAGGTTTACAGACACACATTCTTGAACATCAAAGGTCTGCAAATTTCTAAGTTTGCATAGAGTGCGTGGCACTTTTGCAGAATGTAACCCTTTTAGGCAGAAGTAAGTCAATTGGCTCAGATTTCCAATTTCATTTGGAAGGCACAAATCAAATAAACCGAATTCTAGACTCAGCACTCCTAATATTCTGAAGTCTGAAAGAAAACTTTTGAGATGTTTCTGTTGGATTTTCTCAAAATTGTTGAAAGAGAAAAATGCACGAAGTTTAGGAGTCCTGAGATTTAAAGCAATGTACTCTTTAATGCTATGGTGGCGAGTGACAAGTCTGCGCACTCTCATTGCAAAACTTGAATTCACAGAGTCAAGAGTGTGAAAAAAATTGCTGTCTTTGGCCATGTTAATGCAAAGGCTGTGCAAAAGATCATGGATTCTGCAACTTCTTATCCTTCCATCAAATCTTCTACTAACAACTTGGATTAAGTTTCTAGCAACTAGTTTCTTGATGTACTCCTCTCCGACATCCTCGGGCTCCAGATCGCCTATACCTTGCAGGAACTTCTCAGCTGTCCACATATGTATCAGCTGCGTTGCTAGAATTTCATGGTCCTCAGGGTAAAGTCCCAAGAAGAGAAAGCAGGGTTTTAGTGCAGCCGGTAAATCCTTGTAACTCAAGGCTAAGATTTTTGAACATTTACCTTGATCATCATGGCCTATGTTATTAAGTACCCAATTCCATTCAATGTCACTCGTCTCTCTCTCCCGCAACATTCCTACTGTGACCACAATGGCTAGTGGCACACCACCACATCTTTCAACTATCTGTTTGCCAATGTGTTCCGATCCTAGTAGGTAATTAGTTTTTGTCTCAGAGGACGCTATCAATTTGGTGAAAAGTTGCCAACTATTTTCGAAGTCTAAGGGTTCTATAACATGTAAAGAGCTTTCATTACCAAGGTACCTTCCAACACCTGTATTTCGAGAAGTAATAATTATTCTACTACCATTCTGAGAATCAGTAGGTATACCAAGTCTTAAAGCATCCCATGTTTCAGGATGCCAGATATCATCGAAGAAAATTACAAACCTTTTTTCCTGTAGAAATGCACACAAATTGGCCTCCAACTTCTTCTCCTGCTTTTCATTCTCCAAGCCAACTTGTTCCGCCACATTTTTCAAAATATCTACAATACTTGGCTCTTGAGAAACATAAACCAAAGCAGAACATTCAAAATTTTCTTTCACACTGTTAAAGATTTTCTTTGCAAGAGTGGTCTTTCCTAAACCTGGCATACCCACAATTGAGATGAAACAGCACTCCACACTTGTGCTTAACAGCCTTGCCTTCAGTTCTTCCACTTGTCTGTCAAAACCGACGATGATGGGTTCATTAACATGAAGAGAGGAACCTCTGGGATCCAACTGAAACCTGTTGAACATGCTACCATTAGTATCCTCAATGCCATATATTCTTCTGGCGCGATCAATTTCATTAACTCGTTGCTTGATTTTCTCAATCTCCACAGCAAAACTATGGCAAGTGCGGACATAACATAAAGTGCAGGCGGCATTTCTGATTAAGCTGCTTGATCTGTGTGATTCTATTTGCGGAAGAAACATGAACAATATGTCCTCCACATCACTAGCAAGGTCTTCGATGTCCTTTATCAAATTTGCTACACCATGGCTTTCAGATTTCCTGGCCTCTGCATCCTCCATGTAAGATTGAATGTTTCTCAATTCCCTTTCAATCCAATTGATGTTTTCTTGCAACTGATTTAATCGAGAGCCTTCTTGGACAAGCAGGGCGGCAGATATATCTACAACCTTGTTGATAACACTCGTGATTGCAATTTCTGCCATCTCTGAATTTCCCTTTAGATCAGAGAAACAGTAACTAATTTCTTAGGTGGAGGGTTGAAACTGGATTTAGCAATACACTCTCATCAGATAATCCACTAATCAATCAATCTTCTTTGTTCAAAACGGGTGGTTGAAGTTATATTTCTTCAGATTAGAAATTTCCACCTAAACAGAAAACCCTATACGTCCCCTTCGTCTAAAGTCAACAATCTCCAATCTCGAAATAGATGTAATTGAATAGGTAACAGATTTTCATTTTCAAATACAAGAAAGCATCATTTGAGTTATTCCAATTCATAAAATATAAATTCAAATTCCTTAAAGATTTTCATTAAGGGTCCGTTTGATTGGCGGAGTTTTTCAGGGAAGTAAGAAAATATTTTCCTACTTTCACTTTTTTGATCGTTTGATATGTGAAATTTTCCACGGAAAATGTTTTCTTCCTTTTTTCTAGGTACAACCCTTTAATGCACAAATGTTAGAAAATGTTTTTTNTTACTTAAATTAAACTCTATTTATTTCATGAATAATAGCATTTCGTTTATGAAGCTATTAAAAAAAACCTGATTAACCTGGGAAAAAAATTCACTGCGAAACTCCCCATGCGCGCACAGGAAGTTTGATGCTCCCTGTGCGCACACGGGGAGTTTGTTTAATTTTTTTTTTTCAATTTTTTTTTATTTGTAATTGAAACAAATTCTGGACTCAATAGTAGAAAAAAATTATCACTTTAATGGACAAATTTCATAAAAAATGAAGTCAAATGGACACTAAATTTTCAACATTTTCCATGGAAAATTATACAAATCAAACACAATTAATTATAATTTCTAGTAAAACATTTTCTAAGAAAATCAATTCCCTATAAAACATTTTCTTTCCACCCATTTTCTACCTTTGCAATCAAACGGACCCTAAGTTCTTTTGAAAAAATTACTTGTGCTTTAGTGTTTCTTTCTTAAAGGCTTGTCATATCCTGTAAATTATTTGTCGAAAATCTTAAAAGCAATCCAAGTGGAGGCAAACATTGTTTTTAGGAAAACGTATTGCATATGTGTTTGTGGCCTCGTTTTGGTATTCTTGATAATGGGTTCATATTCCCATTTTCCAGCTTTTCCTTTTCATATTTCAGACAATCTAAAAATGATATTCTATTGCTATGGAGTAAAAAACAACTTTGGTAACTATCGAGTTGATGAACCAAGATTTAGTTTTCTTGGATAGATTCGATGGAACAAACTTTACCCAGTGGCAAAACAAATTCAAGTTTCTTTGACAATATTGAAGATCTTTTATGTCATTGATCAAAATTTTGCACCAATTTCAGAACCATTAGATCAAGATTTCAAAGAAGTATGCACAGAACAAAAGAAAAGAAAAGAAGATGAATTGATTTGTCGCAGTCAAATTCTAAATGTTCTATTAGATATGTTGTATAATGTCTATGTCAACATCACTTCGACTAAAGAAATATGGGAAACAATTGAAAATAATTATAAAGTCGAGGAGGAAGGTATCAACAAATTTTTAACTTCTAAGTTTGATTTTAAAGTGTTAAATTGTTTCCTTTGTTGCCTCAAGTACATGCACTACAAGTTATTGTCAATAAGTTGAAGGTGGTGAAGATTAAACTTCTCGAATTCTTTCAGGTTGGAGCAATTATTGAAAAATTATCCCCAACTTGGAAGGGTTACAGGAAGAAAATTATTTATAACTCCGAAAACTTTTCCTTGGAAAATATACTAAAAACATCTTCTTATTGATGGTGAATCAATGACAAGAGATAAGACTGAAAATGCTTATGATGGCACTTCTAAAGAAATGCCATGTACAAAACTGACTACTCCAACAAAAATCAAAAGAAGGGAAAGCCTCTTGGTCCTAAAAATGATCAACGGAAGTTAAAAAAGAAGTCAAAAGGACCATGCTACGTTTATGAAAAATTGGGACATTATGCAAGACATTGCATGCATAAAAAGAAACGAAAAAAAATGAGGAAAACGTGAACTCGATTGAAAGCTCGTTGCTACGATGAACGAAATCAATGCAATTCAAAGTAAAATTTCTGATTAGTGGTACGACACTTGTTCAAAATTTATAATACATTGATGATGGATAAGAGATTCAAATGAAAAAAAAAAGACGCTCTAAAGTGATTGGCAAATGAAATATTAATATCATCTTTACTTCAGGAAAGAAGATAACTTTAATCATTGCGCTTCATGTACTTGATATGAATAGAAAGTTAGCAAGTGGTGTTCTTTTGGAAAAATCAGCGATCAAATCTGTATTTAAGTTGGGTAAATTTTTATTAACCTAAAAGAGGTATTTTGTTGGTGAAGACAATTCTAGTGATGGAAGAGTCAAGTTATGTCCTATTGAGGATGATTCTAATAATAATAAGAAATCTTTTGCTTATATGGTTGATTTATTTACATTATGGCATGATAGATTAACACATATAGGAATTAGTACTATAAAGGGAATAATCAAATATGGATTAATATTATGTGGATAAATTTGATAAATGTGAAACTTGTATTAAATAAAAAATTGTTAAAAGTCATTTTATAATGTATCTCAATTACTTGAACTTATGCATTCTGATATTTGTAAATTGAATGACAAATTAACTAGAGGAGATAATAGATACTTTATTGCCTTCATTGATGATTGTTCTAGATAAACACTTGTGTGTATTTATTAAAACATAAAGATAAAGCATTTCACTTCACCTCATTATTATTATTTTATTACAAAAGAAAAGTTGCTAAAGTAAGCCAACTATTCATCCGGACAGGTGTCAATAAATTATATTGTCAACCCCCAATTCAGTTTTTTTATCCCCCTTTCAAAACAACGTCGTGTGTTTCCCATTTCCTTTCATTTTATTTGGCCCACCCGTAGAAGGAAGAAGCCCAATCTTTATTTTCATTTGCGGGTAAAAAGAACTCTCAGACCTGGGGGATTTTCCAAAATAGCCGGGTCAAATGACCCATTTGGGTTTTTTGTGTAAAAGTCAATTTTGCCCTTAATGAAATGTTTTTT